CTTCATCATTTCATAAGACATTCCATTGGAAATCACTTGGATTGGAGAAGTGGATCCCTGGTTAGTTCTATAAAACCAACAGAGACTGTTGCCAATCTCATTTACAACTGAACGTGCTAATTAGGAATGCCAACATATGTGATCCTGGACCACAAAACCAGTAATATAAGGGTACATTTTTCGAAATTGAGATTTATACATCATCTGAAAGCTGAATAAATAAGGTAGGACAATGTTTGGCCGAGATACAACTATTTGAAAATTTGGAATCTGAGCGTGCAAAAAAATCTAAATACTGAGAAAATCGCCTTTAAAGTTGTCTAAATGAAGTTCTCAGCAATGCATATTACTAATCAAAAAATAAGTTTTAAGATATTTACAGTAGGAAATTTACTAAATATCTTCATGGAACATGAATATCCTAATGATTTTTGGCATAAAAGAAAAATCAATAATTTTGACCCATACAATGTATTTTTGGCTATATACCCCAGCGACTTAAGACTGGTTTTGTGCTCCAGGGTCACATATATTATTCTCTGTCCTGCTGTTGCTCACAGGTGATCCATTAGAACACTACACACATCTTCTCTTCTGGCTCAGTATGAACCTTCTCTTATGGCTTGAGGGATGAATGGCCAATCTAAGTACTAATGAAGCAAAATGCCCAGAAGAGATGCAAGATGTATGGTGTACACCATTCTACCTTACAATGGTCTGATTACTCTACCTGGTATGACGCTTAATTATGTCTGATTGTCCATTTAAACGGGAAGAAATTTACACAGTACATTAAGTGACTAGTCAGTAAATCAGAAAATTTGATTTGGTTCTAACACTATGACATTTAAAAACCAATCAAACTGTATAGATTCACCAATTTTGCCTCACAGTTAAATTGCCTGTTACAGCTTATCAGGTGCTCTTGTTTAGTAAATATGTTTGTCTCTCTCTCTTTCTCTCTCTCTCTCTCTCTCTCTCTCTCTCTCTCTCTGTGTGTGTGTGTGTGTGTGCATGTTTATGTGGTTTATACACAGATTTGTATAATAACATGGGCATGACATAGGTATTACAATGAGAAGGTGATTTATGAGGACATTTTCTGTGTCCCCTTAATTCAAAAGGTTTATAAATAATTCAGAATGAGTTTTTTGGAAAATCTAAAAATGCAGAAAGTTTCCTGTAAGGGGTAGGTTTAGGGGTAGGGTTGGTGTAGGGCAATAGAAAATACGGTTTGTACAGTATAAAAACCATTACGCCTATGGAGAGTCCCCATAAACCATAAAAACAAACCTGTGCGTGTGTGTGTGGGGGGGGGGTGACACTGAAGACTGGAGTAATAAAAAAAAGACACAAAAAAAAATCAGCTTTGACATCACAGGAGTAAATTACATTTTAAAATATATTAAAATATAAATCATCTATTTTACATAGTAATAAGTATATATTTTGGATAAATACAGCCTTGGTGAGCAGAAGATATTTTTTTCTTCAAATTTTTAAAAAATCTTACAGATCTAAAAGTTTTGAATGGTAGTGTGTATATACTTTGGAATTGAAATAAGCAAATTAAATTTTGTGCTAGTAAATTAAATTACTGGTCTTTACCACACACATGCTTTGTTTTATTGTAGGAATAGTTTCCTCCAAAATAAAAATTCAGTCATCAATTACCCACCTCTTTATGTTGTTCCAAACCCATATAATTTTCTTTCTTCAGTAATAAACAAAAAGTGTTTATATACCGTGTCAAAGCTGCTCTTTTTCAATATAATGCAAGTGCAGGGAATGCTGTTTCCCTTCACTTTCATTATATTGAAAAAGAACAGCTGTGGTTTGGAATCGGTTTAGAACAACATGAGGCTGAGCTAATAATGGCAGAATGTTGTTTTTTTTACATTGCACTGTTCCATAAATTAATGTTTTTGTTTTAATTAACAAGAAACTCTACAAGAAAAATGTTTGCATTTTAAGGGGTAAAGGTATTGGGAACATGAGAGACAGAGAGATGAATTCAAGGACTTTTTAAGATGAGTTCTAATAAAATGACAGGCCTCTGTATTTGCATTATTTCTCACACAGCAGTAAAAAAATAAAAAAAGAAAGCGATGAGACGATGAGTATCTGACACTGTTAACGCTGTAGAAAAAAGAGCAGGCTGGTTTTCTAGTTCTGACATATGCATGAAGCATGAGTAAAAGAAATTCGCCATTGATCTGACAAATACTCATGGATTAAATTAAATACTCATCTGAGTCTGCTCACACACTGGAGAGACGTCAGAGACATTCCTGTAAGTTCAGCCACTAGTCGAATCCAAATGGCTCATTGCCATACCACGTTTGTGCATTCTGGATCTGTTACTAAATTTGAATTTATTTTTTCCTTAAATAAATAAAGTACAAGGAGTGAACAATGGAATGAAAGTTACAATAATTTACACTAACATCAGTTGAAGATGAATAGTATAATAAAAGCTGCTTTATATTACATTAGGGGCTGCCTTATGGGGGACGTCATGTTGAGATCACATGATCAAATTAATTGTTCTTAATGATTTCCCTGATCTGACACTTTCTGGGTGACTGAATAAAGTATAACTAAATTCATGCGGCATCAACAAACAAAGTTTTTGGCAAAGAGACCCATTGTAGAAATGTTCTGTGTTTTATATGTTCTAATTTAGTTATACTTTATTCAGTCACCCAGAAAGTGTCAGATCAGGGGAATCATTAAGAATAATTCATTTGATCATTATTTACCACTAGGTTCAGAATGAGTACAAGTCTGCTGTCATATTACCTTAAAAAATAAAATAAAATCCCTGTCTGCATCCGAAATCGCATACTCCCTGACTACATAGCAGGTGAAAAACAATAAGTGAAAAGACCATGTCTGAATTCACAGTATTCGTAAAACAGTAGGCAAATGGCCTTCTGAAGTGGGCATCTGATGAACACTGCTATCCCATGAGGCCACAGGAGAGATTTTTTGAATGGCAGTTAAGTCACATGACAAAGACAACATGGCGGATGTAATAATTAGAACATACATTTTCAAATGTTGTACCTTCTCATATGGTATGCAATTTTGGATGCAATTGAGTTTACTGAGTTGTCCATTTAAGGAAAAGACTCCCTGTACTGCAGTAAAAGTGATTCTCCTCTGACAGGTGAAGTACATTAGCAATCAATATTGTTTTCTTATGTTTCCCCAACATTCGACAGACAGCACTAAAGATCCTGTTGGCTTCAGTTGCACTTACAGATTGTACACGGTAATTTCTCCTCTTTAATGATCGAAAACTCATGTCCTTTAGTTTTGCTCTTGCGTTGGTTGTCGTAACTGATGGCTATAGAAGTGAAGGCATTCTGACTGTGGGACACGGTGCACCCAAGGCATTTCATGAAAGTGACATGTTCACTCGTGCAACAAGAATCTGCTGTTGCAGAAAATCTGTTAAAGTCTAAACCATGTTAAAATTGATCTACAACAACAGTGAACCCACTTGATAAAGAAGGTGATGCATCTTATTTATGAGCCTCTTTAGTTGCCCAAGACATTTATTAAAGTTAACTTATTATTATGGAATTTATTATATTGCTCAGTAGTCTGAGACATGAAAAGCAGGTATGCAAAGAGAGATGGATGCCAATTTTTGCATCCATACCACTTTGCCAACTGTAATTTTAAAAACAATATATTTCACATCTTTAAACGTTTCATTATTTTGCAAAAACACTAAAGGAATAGATTTTTAAATTAGATTTTTGTATACTGATTTTCTGTGTGTCAGTCATCTACAGTGAAATAAAATGTTATCTGCTGCAAGACCATAGGTCACAAAAATGGATTTTTAGATCGTCACTGCCACCTACTGGCAAGCGCAGGCTCTTCGAGACATTACAATGAGACGTGGACAACCATTCAGTGTTGTTCAAGTATAGCGGAGCTGCAAAACCCATGTTGAAGGAATAGTTCACCCAGAAATGAAAATTTGCTGAAAATGCGCTCACCATCAGGCGTACTCCCCATAAAGAGTTTGTTTATTTATCAGAACAGATTTAAAGAAATGTATCATTACATCACTTGCTCACCAATGGATTTCAGTTCACGAGACATTAATTGATGGACTGGAGGTGTGTGGGTTCTTGTTAATTATTGCAATGTTTTTATCATCTCTCATTCTGATGGCACACATTCACTGAGGATCCATTAGTGAGCAAGTGATTATGAAACAAACTCATCTACATTTTGGATGGCCTGAGGGTGAGTAAATAGATATTAGGTATTAAGTTTGCAATAAAATATGTATTCAACCTGTAGAATTTTCTATTCTGCTTTCATGTTCACAAATATAGATTCGGTTAGCACAGAGCATAGAACTTTCAGTCCCACCTTGACATGCAAGGACTGGCCTTGCACTCAGTCATTAAGTTGATATTTATAATAATAGTTAATCAATGTTAATTTATAAATATTGTTTTAATTAATAATAACATAAAACCAGTTAATATCTGACATAAGTACATTTCTTTAGCTTGTACTTAGCTTCTTTAGCAAACCCCTTGCTGATTGATTGGTTCCTCTAATTATCATCCTCATCCTACTTAGTGGAGTTTATCCTTTCCATATTCACCTTTTCCTGTTGAATGAAGTTATTAAGCCAATGTTTGCTGCTTCAATCACTGATTATTACGTTTAAAGAATTGCATACACTTTACAAATGACTCTTGAATGATTTATATATTAATGGAAAGACTAACACTTTTGGTTAAAGTTAGGTTAAAAATTCACAGACTTGGGTGTTCCCTGTATAAGCATGCTATGGGTCAGCATTTCCTTGTGCTGTAAAAATCTACGCATTTTAACTATGGATTGTTTTAAACTATACAGTACATGCAAGAATAACAGACTTCATAAAAGGTCACTTACATGATTTCAAAACAAAGTACCTACCAAACGTACACAATAAACATGAACAATTAAAACAAAACAAATTAACAAGTACACAAGTGTCTTTATTTACGCAAGCAACTTTGTTCCTACAGTTCGAAAAGAAAAGAAAAAGCCACTGTCAAGCTGTTGGCACATTTATGTACAAAACCAGTTAATTTTACTGCCTGCTACAAAGCATTCTCAGTGAAAGTACAAAAAAGTAGTACAGTATGTGGATAAAGCTGAAAGCAATGTCATTCTGTAATACTGGATGTAATGTAATACTGGATACGCGCCATCAAAACAAGAATAGGTTTAAGACATGGTTCGGAAAAATCATCACAAACTAGAAAGGACAAAACTCAAACACTACAACCTAATAAGATATATAGCTTAATATTGTTAGAGTAGCAACTGTAATACTGCACATTTAGAAAAAATATAATTGACCCCAGCAAGACAGTCATAAGTGTAAAAATCAACTTACATTTTTTTTTCCCTTTTAAAACTATTACCATTGAATGCATAACCATGCCACAAATAACAACTATATTTATGTTTTTTTTTTTTTACCTAATACAAGTTTCTTTTGTGGTTTTAAAAAAGCTGCATGACTAATAAGAGTACAGGGACTCAGAGCTGATTCCAAATGCACTTACACCAAAAAACTCACAATGGTCCATAAGTGCACAAAAACTAGCTTGTTTTTTTATTATTATTATTATGTTTTTTTTGAGACACTGACAAAAGAATTTTACTGCAAAAGTAGGGCAACTGAAGTCGGCAAGACCGAGCCAAAACACTGAGTTTTGAGTAACACATGCTTGTACATCCATATCTTTCTTGTATTTATTCGGAACGTGTTCGGTTTTTACATAAATACCTTGTTTATTTAACCTTCCAGAGTGTTTGGCAGATTCGTTGCAATCAACTTTTCCACTTAGATTTATACTTCTCTGATATGAACGACAATCTCAAGAATATCAACTCACACTGACTGCCGAGATGTGTTTTAGAAACTGACATGAAATGTGTATACATTTAAAGAGATATATACAGTTCATGAATGATGGAAAAATGTGTTTTTGTTGGAGTACTTGCATTTAAAAAGTTAAAGCTAAAACTAAGCAATAAAACACCTGAAAATGTTATTTGCATGTGAGAGTATGGCTTGCAATGGATGAGAGAAAACAAATATCCCAAGGCAAATCCTACTTGACCGCTCTAGCTGATTTGAGATGTTCTTTTTCGGTCCTTCTTTCCCAATCAGCAGCCATCTCTGTCAAAGCTTAACAAACGTTACTAAGCACCAGTGTCACACCTTCCATTAATACTGTGCACAGCTAGAATATACAGTTAGGCCAAGCTACAGTATAGCAATAAAAGTCACTTTAAGGTACTTTTTGAAATCCCTGGCACTCCAAAACTGAATTGGTTGGAAAAAGAATCTGTACATTGTTTGTGCTGTTGCTGCTATAATTGTGGCAGCTTGAGCAGTTAACCTGTAAATCATAAGTTACAAGTTTGGTCACATTTTGGTTTTGAAAAAGTCTGAAGAAAATCTAAATCATGACTAGCCATTTATAGGGTGAGCTTGAAGAGCGCAAATCATCAGTGTGTAATACAAAAATGTGAAAAGTGTTCTTTAATCCCTTTGGCTAAACCCAAACCCCCTAACAAGACCCAATGAGACCTAAAAGTATGAAGTCACTCAACTTAGTGTGCTCTCAAACATGTCAACAGAAAAGGAAATCGGAACAAGGACAAAGAAACTAAATCTAAATCCTGGGTAGTCAGAGACATTGCCATGGGGACGATAAACACGTCCCTAGACCAACATTCTGGGTCACACCCGTACATACCAAATGTTACAGTTATTTACCACCCCATCCCATCCAATCCCTTACCCCTGGAAACCATGGAAATTAAATATAGTTAAGTTTAGTTTATATGTGTGTCTTCAGGGAGGGGAAGGGCATGCTTATGTGTGTTTGTGTGCGTGTATACATATTTATATGTGTGCACATGAGCGCGTGCTTTATGTGTATGCGTTCAGACGCTCTTTAGAGCGAGTAGAGTGGATATCATGAAGCTCCTGCTCCTCCTTGGACTTGATGTCCTCGTATTTCTGCATCCGGCAGGCATCCTTCACGTAAGCCCAGTTAGCCGACAGCACCATCAGGTAGTGCACCTACAGCAACACAGTGGTTAGAGGGGAGGGTTAGTGTTAGTGCTGATGACCCATCTGTACCCACATAGAGGTCAAAAGGATTACTTTGGAGACTGGGTGGGCATTTAATGGCCCAGTTTAGACTGGAACTAGATCAGTTATTTCCCTTGTCAGACGATGTGGCGACCATTTCCAGCTGAATGTAAGCCAGGTTAGTTTGTTCATTTACACTTGTTATCGCTTGTAACTGGTGGGTTAACTTGGAGAGGTGGGGGAAGGACAGGGACTGAAATGATATTGCAAAATGGAAGAGCCTGGGTGTCATTTTAATCAAGCCAATTAAGGGACGTCATTATGAAAGTCGCTGTCGTGGGTGATGGTGGTGGGGCGCTTGGTGGAAAGAGAGTGTGTCGGGAGCTGGCTTCAGAAACGCGTGCAGTACCTCCCCGTGCTCTTTGACGTCAGAATGACGTGGTTATGGATGAGGATAGACACGGCCACCACCTAACACAGTAGCCAGGTCATTGAAAAAGAGAAAGGAAGAAGGTTACTTGCTGCCTCCTAAAAACCCTATTCCTAACTCCGGTTCACCCTCACATCGTTCCAAACCTGTATGATATTCTTTCTTCTGTAGAAAAGAGTATGAGATGTTTTATTTACACTGAAAGTGCAGTGAAAGTGAATGATGAACAAGAGCTGTCAAGCTCCAAAAAGCATCATAAAAATCCATACAATTCCATGTCTCTGAAGCCATATGATACCTTTTTATTTACTGATAATCTTGTCATTAAAGCACTTAAATGTTATTTCTGCTATTTGTATATTTGAATAAGTGCATCAAGAGGAACCACAATAAAGGCAAATGTCATTGGTTCTTGTGGGTCTCATAACCAACTGTGATGTGCCAAATTTTTCCATATTACTCCATATTCATGTGCATTGTTAAATCATACAAATGAGGGAAAGATGTATGATGCCTTTTAGTATGCGTTTTAGGAGCCTTTGGTCAAAAGAGCTGCAAAACGTCTTTGTTTGTGATTGTTTGGAACAACAGATTAAGTAATTCATGGCAAAATGTTAATTTTTGGATGAACTATCCCTTTAAATTTGGATGGTTCAGAAAATTGTGTTATAATTATATGCATTTCCACGACAAAAATGGCTTTTTTTCTGAAGTTCCTCTGTAAACCATTGGGTGGCATTATTGCTGCACAAATAAGCAAACCGCAAGCATGCAGCAGTATTCTCTGAAAGGTATGATGTAATTATATAATCAAAAGAGCACAAATTATGTAGAGCTTTTTTTTCTAATATCCAGGCTGTTTTCTCATTTCCAAACTGGTGTGGAATGCAATTAACTCACATAAATCATGCCAGACTGTTGCCTTTGCAGAAAACAGACACATTGTGCTTTTCACACACACACACTGCAAGGAAGCTTAAGCAGAAAACAAAAGCACAATGCAGTGCAAAAATACTTAGTGTATTGACCGCATCAAATTAATTTGATGCTATACTATTTACCTTCTACATAAGCTCTTATTATTAACCAATGAAAAACAGCTTTCCAAGGTTCAAACCAAAGGGCAAAAAAGCTGCCTCACAGAAAATGGTCTCACAATCACTTATCGCCGTTCCAAACAAGCTTCTCTCCTTCCTTCCCTCTCCTCTTCTGTTTCCATGGCAACAACACCTCCTGCAATTTCAATGATGAGCATTCCTTTCCATCTCTCTATCTGTCGTCTTCTCTCTTTGCTCACTCACTATTTTACAAGAGACCTTGGATGTATATTGCATTTTAGACAAGCCTGCACATTCTTTCCCGATACACTGTAATTCTGTAATTCACTGTAATTCTATTACACACTTGTTGTGCTTAGATTTCATATAACTTGAAGGTGTCACTGGAATCATAGGATTAATGAAACTCATAAATCAATCTAAACGTCGTTGTATTGCCATAAAAAAAATATATTTAGGGAAAACTTGTGCAATGTAGAAGCTGAGCAATCAAGAAAGAAAGGTAGAAAGAGACAGCAGTGGAAATGCTCACCATGGCGATAACGGCTGCTCCAGCCCCCGCAAGTGCGCAGACAAACAAGTGGAATGTCAGATCCAGCTGGAGAAAGGACAAAAAAAAGACTCTGAAGAGGATAAAACATGGATGGGTTTTCACTGGCAAATCATCAAGAAGTACAGATAAACCTAAGAGACAGATTTACTAAACAAATAAAAAAATGGTGCAACTATCGGTAAACTGACTACCACAAACCTTAGTAAATCATGTTGCATGATTAATTTAAATGCACTCCATTTTTGTTTTTTTCGTAAAGGAAAACTTCTACAAATGCATATGCAAAAAGGTCAGTTGCTAAAATAACTGTCCAAATTTTTCACTGCGTGCCTTTAGTAAATCTGGACAGCAAGTGTTTACACTGGTGCAAGCTGTAAATCTGGCCGTAGATCACCAAAACAATCTAAAATGATAAACTCTAGGCTATAGTGACATCTTTCCTATAGTAATAATATTGTGAAAGCATAGCATCCGCTAGGATATGACTTGTGGTACTGTTCATATAAGGAGCTGCACGATCTTGCAAATAAATATAAAATTTGAACTATTACATATTTATATGGAGGAATCCCCATTGCACTGTGACTTAAAGTGTCTTAATGTCTTAAAAGCATGGTTCACAATTTATTCCTATTCTCTCTCTCACTTCCCACCCTTCATTTATGTTATAGGTCGCTGACTATAATGGCGGACTGAATTTAGATGAAGGCTAAAACATAGGATAAAATAAGCCCATTGTCACACTCCCTACTGTGAGGAGCGAGGAACGAGGAGACGGAGGGGAATTCACTATGATACATACTTTATTCTTTCACACGGAATCAGGGACAAACACATAGGAAACAGGTAACGACGTTCAGACTCGACAAAGAAACATCCTACAGACTACACTTTAAATATAAGACATAACGAGGGAGTAAATTAAATGCACCTGAATCAAATAAACAAACACAGGTGGAGACTAATGAACTCAATGAAATAATCAGGACAGGAACATAACCAAAAAAGGGCTAAACACTGGGACACAGGGAGCACATGGGGAACAAAACACAACAAAAGCCTGACATGACGCCCCCCCTCCGGAAGGCGCGTCCTCGCGCCATACAACATCAAAGGGGTGGGAGGGTGGGAGCCTTGGAGATCCCTCAGGACAGGTCTGGACGGGACAGGATGCCCCAGTTCGGCAGTTTGGGGCACCATGGCGGATCTGGCAGTTTGGGGGACGCCATGGCGGAGCAGGCAGACTCGGAGGCCATGGCGGATCAGGGGACTCGGGGAGCCATGGCGGATCTGGCAGCCCAGGAGGCCACGGTGGAGCAGGTAGTTCAGGAAGCTCTACGGCTGGAGCCCTACTACACCCCCCCCCCCAAAAAAAATACTTGCCGATGCTTACGGGCTCCGAGGCCCTCCGTGGGCCATGACAGGGAACTGGAGCCCTTCCTGGGCTTAACTGGGGATCTGAAGCCCTCCCTGGGCTTAACTGAGGATCTGGAGCCCTCCCTGGGCTTAACTGGGGATCTGGAGCCCTCCCTGGGCTCAACAGGGGATCAGGAGCCCTCCCTGTTCTATACTCGGGAACTGTGAAGCGCTTACGAGGAACTGGCACTGGAGGGTGCTCTGGAGGAGCAGGCACAGCAAGGCGCTTTCGAGGAGCTGACACTGGAACCAACTCAGGGGCTGGAGCCGACACTGGAGCGAGCTCTGGGGCTAGGATGAAGGCAGAGAACAGTCCTTTAACTCAGGGGGCCATGGCGGATCAGGGGCCTCGGGGAGCCATGGCGGATCTGGCAGCCCAGGAGGCCACGGTGGAGCAGGTAGTTCAGGAAGCTCTACGGCTGGAGCCCTACTACCCCCCCCCCCCCAAAAAAAATACTTGCCGATGCTTACGGGCTCCGAGGCCCTCCGTGGGCCATGACAGGGAACTGGAGCCCTCCCTGGGCTTAACTGAGGATCTGGAGCCCTCCCTGGGCTTAACTGGGGATCTGGAGCCCTCCCTGGGCTCAACAGGGGATCAGGAGCCCTCCCTGTTCTATACTCGGGAACTGTGAAGCGCTTACGAGGAACTGGCACTGGAGGGTGCTCTGGAGGAGCAGGCACAGCAAGGCGCTTTCGAGGAGCTGACACTGGAACCAACTCAGGGGCTGGAGCCGACACTGGAGCGAGCTCTGGGGCTAGGATGAAGGCAGAGAACAGTCCTTTTCTCTTTGTCCTCCTCCTTTGGTTACGGGTGAACTGGGCAGCCGGCGGGTTTGTCGTTGCGGTAACCGGCAGGCTTGACAATGGCACGGTTGGCGGGCTTAAGTGTGCCGCGGCCGGCGGGCTGGAGAGAGCCGCCACCGGTGGGCTTGACTTCATAGCGGCCGGCGGGCCTGACATCGGAATGGCCGGTGGGCTGGAGAGAGCCGCAGACGGCGGACTTGACTGGGGAGCGGCCGGCCATACTGGGCTGACGACTAGGGTGGATCTTAGGAGGACAGCGGGGAATTTGGGGTTGGGCAGGCGGTAGGAGCCGTTGGAGTGGTATGTGGAGGTTCTCGGCATGGGGTGAGCTGGGGAGACATGGCGCGTTCCAGCGGGAGTTGGATGACGAGGCTTGGGAAGTTTCTTTACTTCTTCCACTTCGAAATCAGAACCATTTAAGAACAGCACGAGATTAATCAGCTCGATCAGGGGAAAATCACACGTCGGTAGATCGCAGCGGATTATCTCGTCATCCAACCCCAACAGGAAGCACGCACCCCTAGAGCGGCATCGTGCTAGCTCACCTGGTTAGAGAGCTTGAGAAAACCCTCCACATATCGCTCCAACCTCAGACCGCCCTGCCACAAACCCCACAGCACGTCCTCTGCTGCAGTCATCTTTTTGTGGTTGAGTCTTCTGTCACGCTCCCTACTGTGAGGAGCGAGGAATGAGGAGACGGAGGGGAATTCACTATGATACATACTTAATTCTTTCACACGGAATCAGGGACACACACGTAGGAAACAGGTAACGATGTTCAGACTCGACAAAGAAACATCCAACAGACTACACTTTAAATACAAGACATAACGAGGGAGTAAATTAAATGCACTTGAATCAAATAAACAAACACAGGTGGAGACTAATGAACTCAATGAAATAATCAGGACAGGATCATAACCAAAAAAGGGCTAACACTGGGACACAGGGAGCACATGAGGAACAAAACACAACACAAGCCTGACACCCATCTTCTGAACTGCCAACTGACCTCATTAGATTCACACATCTTGATGAAGTTCTCAGAAGCTGTACACAGTTTTTTCTCCTCACCGATGGACACAATTCCTGCAATTTAAAGAAAGTGAGATGTGTTAACAGCAGATTTATTAATAATGCAATGATAGTACATGCATAAATGACAATTAGGTATGTCAAAGCTGCCATTTAGCGTTCAGTTGTGCTAATATGTAAAGTCATGGGCTGTGTCCGAATGCTTAGGCTGCTGACTTGTCATCAGGCAACGACTTTGTATGCCGCGTTTGCCCATTAAGTCACCTCACAAAACTGATTTCGGACATGCTTCTAAGGCAGCGTAACGGTTTAATAACGAAGAAGGCTGCTGCCACTCCATAGATCACATACTTAAATATGTCAATCCTGAGGAAGCAAAACAATAAGTAAATTAGTCATTTCCTTATGAAAAGAGTGTCTGTGCTTATCTTGCACACAATGGCAATTCAATAAGACAACAGCGAGAATATTGGTGGCAAAGTATTTTGTGAAGCCCTAATCCACTTAATTTTGTGTGCAGATTAAATTCAATTTCAAAGCCTTACTCCAAAGTATTTGGCAAAACAAGGTAAAATGGCTGAAAAATGCTGCTCCACACACTGCCACTATTCCTTCCTCCACCCACTCCTTTCTCTCGTTCTCTCTGTCCATCCTGCTCTCCTTCCCACCAGTGGAGTTCCGGTGAGCAGGTGTACTTGAGATTTCAGAACACTTAATTCTCTGAGTGGGACTGATGCCAAAACCTAACATGGTAGATAAAAAAAAAACAGTCTTGTGATTCTGTGTGTCACTGTTCTTTAGAAATGTGTGTGTGGAAAAATATATTTCTAAATAACACTCTCCTCAGTCTCCACTTCCTATAAGGCTGAATGATGTAAACACAAGATTCAATGAATTCAATTTAATTCATTATAATAATTATAACGTGCATTTCTTTACTCCTTCTAGATATATCACACAGAAATTATTCTGGATGGTCCCTATTAACTAATCATTGAGCTGTGCTGAAAATCCTTTACCTAATTTGATGTTACCATACAAAAATTGCTTTTAGATCTCTCATTATGCCCATTATTACCAAATCTCAGTCTTTAAAACATAGGTTCATATGCCTACAGAGGCCTGCAGAACAATCAATCACTTCCAAAAAGAAATACAAATTCATTTTTGACCGGGGACACCACAAACGTAACAAGGTCGGGGGGAAAAGTACAAAAATTATATAAATATAGATAGGTAGATAGATAGATAGATAGATAGATAGATAGATAGATAGATAGATAGATAGATAGATAGACGAATGCGATAACATTAACTAGCATGTTCAGAAAAAAAGAAAATCTTCTCTGGGTCAAAATGACTGGACCACAGCATGAGGGCTAAATAACTTGAATAAAGGTGTGTATGCAACTAGTCTGCATCTTGCTTAATGGTAAAGATAAACCACAAATGAAGACAATGAATGATCAATAAATTAGTTTCAGTAATACATTATTAAGAACCGGTGACATAAACTGAATTAGATACATGTACATTACAACAGACAGCAAAGCCTGACTGTATGTTCTTTTTTTATTATGACTTTGGTATTGTGACACTCACATGGTAAAGACATCCAGGGCATCAACAGGCGACCGGACAACATCAAAATAGGTCTGCAGGATGGTGACGGTTCCAGAGAGAGCCTCATGACCACAGCCACAGAAGAGCGCCACCCCGGCATACAGCAGGATGGTCGCAATCAGAGAGGCGTAGGGAATCCCACTCAGGCATTTGAGACAGCATTCAGAGCACCCTGGGAACAAGAGTAAGAGTCAGTCCATAACTTCTTCAAGAGCAAGTGTGTATAACAACCAATAGCTTTGCTGTGCTACCAATATATGCCAATGATGTTGTTAAATATAGGTGTAGAGGTGGCAGAGAAATTCAAATCAAGTAGAATCAAGGGAATGTGTTAAAAATTTACTCAATTAAGTATCTTGAGCAAAAGTATTTACAATTACATTACATTAAGTAATTTTGATTAAATGGATTTACAATTGATTAAATCAGGGTACAGTGAAAAAAAAAATATATATAATAATAATATATATATATATATATTACAATATAAAACAGGTATTTTAAATTGTATTAACTAAATTTCACAGTTACTTTTAAAATCAATATAAAATGTATAGGTCACACTTTACAATAAGGTTTCATTAGTTAATGTTAGTTAATATATTAACTAACAGGAACAAACCAAGAACAATACATTTATTACAGTATTTATTAATCTTTGTTAATGTTAGTTAATGAAAATACAGTTGTTCATTCTTAGTTCATGTTAACTAAAGTAGTTAACTAATGTTAACTAATGAACCTTATTGTAAAGTGTTACCAATGTATATTTATTTACCTCAATAGCACTGCAAAAGCATAATTCCTTGAGGGTTATAAACAGCAAGGTTTATGTAAATAAAACACATGAAAATGCTGAATTAATGTGCCGTAAGTCCATTACCTAATTCAGAGTGGTAACAGTTTTACTGAGTGAAAGTGCAAAGCAATTTCTATTTGCACAGTCCAAGAGAACATCCATTCCCACATATGTCACAGGGGAGGACGTTTACTGTGACTCTAACCAATCATAACTGCCGCAGCTGAGAGATTCATGGACACAATTCAACAGCACGCAAACAATATTGATTGCAAAATTGCAAGCAAAGAATGGCACCAGTGGCGGCTATTCTGCAGCATGGAGCAGCAATGATTTATGGGTTATCATAATCAAAGCCCACCAGTACAGGAAAACATAAAGAGCAGGTCTTCAGAGGATGTTCACTATCATGTATACCTTAGAAGAAAAATAAAAGAGTCCTTATTGTGGAACTCAGTCAGTCAAGCAGGCTAAATGTTCACAGCACAACCTCTTAAGCCCTGCAGCAAAGACTTAATACAGACGATACAGCTGAAGTTGAACGCTCACGGTTCTTGAGCTTACATCCCATCTTCCCATTGAGCTGAGTTGCTATTGGTGCAGTGGCATTGTATCTGCTTTCTCCTCACTCCTTGTAGCTGCGCCCCAGAACCAGCTGTTTACAGGTGTGTGGATAATGTGCATTTTGCAGCACTGACCCAGTGTAACGAAGCGTCACTCGAAGTGGGATCCATAAGCAGGCTTTATTACAATCGTGGTCAAACAGGCAATGGTCAAATACCAGCAAACAAAGTGACGGGGGGTAAACACAATCGTTGTCAGTAAACAGGCTAGAAGTCGGGGCAGGTGGCAATGAATCACAACTCAGAGACAAGACGGATAATCCAGAAGGCAGGTAGCAGAGTATCATAAATGAGGTACAGACAGGGTCACAACAAGCAGGCAAAACAGAGAAAAATGCTCAGAAATGTAAACCACAGTAAAACAAGACTTTGCAATGAGCTGGAAGGAACAAACGGTTTATATAGGCCAGCTGATGGGCTACAGCTGGGCTAGGTGATCAGTGCCAGATACGGGGCTGATGGGAAATGTAGTGTGAGAGTGTAAGAGTCAATATTCGGGAGAGGGAGCCCTCTGATGGTCGGAAGAGGGAATCACGGAGTTCGCCTCTGTGACACCCAGCTGTTATAGGGAAAACAGACTTACACCTTCATTACACCTTGAGAAGAGCCTGCAGCACTGAAATGCTCTGGAGAGCAGGCGACTGTTACTGCATCAAAACACGCATTATGTAAGCCTGACTGATTTTTAGTAATGCACAGATTAAAAAATTATAGCAATATGTATTTATTAAACACACAGTGCATTAGTAAAGTGTACTGGAATTTCAGTCAGTGCTCAAACATTTCATATGCGTCGATCCTTCTTGTTTTGTTTTCTATTCAAACATGAGTTTAATAAGAAAAACAATTAAAATAAAAATGATAGAATAAATAAATCAAAATGTTTAAATGTCGGAAAATTTTAAGAAGATTATAAAGTCTGCAGTCTGAGCATGGGTCAGTAAGATTGTATTTATTTATTCATTTATTGAAAGGAATTAATACTTCTATTCTGTAAGGATACTTTAAACTGATGAAAAGTGGCATTAAAGATATTTATAATCTTGCAAATTATTTCGATTTCAAATAAATGCTGTCTTTTTCTTTCTATTCATTAAATATTCTTTAAAAATGTCAGTTTCCAAAAAATTATTAAGCAGCACAACTCTTTTCAAGATTGATAATAATAAGAAATACTTCTTGAGCAGCAATTTCTGAAGGATCATGTGAGATTGAAGATCAATACAATATCAATGTAACCGTTTCCTCTTCAGGAACTCGAGCTGCGTCGGAAAACGCTTTGGGAACGCCTTCTGTGAAATCACTCCAATAGCTGGGCGAGACGTCACGGGCGGGTGACATCATGTCCAGGAAGCTATAAAAGCATGTGCGCCGGAGCCAGCGTCAGCTTTTTGTCATTCAGCAAGTGCTCTGTGTGTGTGTCAGTCTGATATCCATGAGTCTTATTTAGTGTTGTCTGTCACGAAATCACAAGACAAAACCAAACACCAAAGGGCTAGGGCAGGCAGCATTCAGGCTGTGTGTTCCTCCCTGCTCACGTTACTTTACGGGTGGGGATACACACAGTTTGTTTGTTGTCTGCTTGAGAGCAAGCACGCAGAGTCAGCTCTCGGGAAAAAAAAGGACGGGCGGGTGACATCATGTCCAGGAAGCTATAAAAGCATGTGCGCCGGAGCCAGCGTCAGCTTTTTGTCATTCAGCAAGTGCTCTGTGTGTGTGTCAGTCTGATATCCATGAGTCTTATTTAGTGTTGTCTGTCACGAAATCACAAGACAAAACCAAACACCAAAGGGCTAGGGCAGGCAGCATTCAGGCTGTGTGTTCCTCCCTGCTCACGTTACTTTACGGGTGGGGATACACACAGTTTGTTTGTTGTCTGCTTGGGAGCAAAGCACAGTTGTTACTGCCTCACTTCGCTCTCAGAGGGCTCTCTTTGAGGAGGGAGCTTTCACTAGCGTTCCTCGCTGTGCCGGCCCCGCTTTCGCCAAGGCGGAGCGGCAGCTGTGCTCGTGGGTTTTGCATATAAGTGGCACCCGCTTTCGGGGTTTTGGAAGCCCGCGCTGCAGTCCTTCTTCCCGGGGAGAGGGCGCGACGCTCCGCCTGTCTTTCTCCGAGGAGATTGATACGGAGGGCGTCAAAGAGCTCGCCAGTTGCACAAGCATCAGTTACACAAGCAATATTATGCCTGATATTATAATAAGCAGCATTAATAGGGAGCGGAGCTCGCGCAGTCGGCTCTCGGGGGGCGGATTGTGCTTTTACCTCTGTTAAGTGCTCCGCTCTCGCCGGGCACGCTCCGAGGAGTGTGTCCATGCCTGTGATCTTGCGATTGCGGTCCCGCTGCTGCTGAGGCATGGCGGTGACTGAGATCACGGGGATTGCACATGATCTGGCGGATGGGTTGGAGATGGCTCGTCCTATCTCCATTCGTGTTCCCTAGATCTAGAGCTGAGGTTCTTCCCCCTCTGAGCGAGAGCTTGCTGCTGCGGCCATATTTTCTCTGAGGAGATTGATGTTGTTTGTGTGACTGAGCGGCACGTGCGCTGCCGAGGCAACTCTTATATTACTTAATTCATTTTTTTATGTGAATCTTTCTCACCAGATCGTATTTACTCCTCTGGTTGTTTGACTGCAAGTTTTTATTTGACTATGAAAAGTTAGATATACAGGGGCTCTTGGGATAAAAATGTCTCGAGTGAGAGCATGCGTTTATCTCTCTTCCTCTGAGGAGGTTGAGGCGGTCAGCAGGGGCTGCTGGGTGGGAGCAGTACCAACCTAGCGTGTTCCAGCCCCTCATTCTGGGGGCCTCACTTCTCGTACTCCGCAGAGTCTAGAGTCAGAGTGTCGCTCCCAGGCCGAAGGCTTCTAGCAGAAGGCGGGTCTGCGGACCGTCATTCTCGCTGGATAGTCTTCGTCGTAAACGTCCTGATGCCTAAGGCCTAGGACTTAAAGTTTGAGGGCCAGCTCCCTCTGGGGAAGAGCGGTGTACACCGCATTACACGGTGTCCGTCTCTCCTCAGTGCCCTCAGGAGGTTGGTCTGCCAACCCTGCCGGTGTTCCAGGGTGCAGCAGTCTCCGGCGAGCGCTTCTCTATGGAGGTCTCTAGAGCAGCTTGTACGGCCATCCCCTACTGGTCCGCTGCTTCAGGGCATCGAGCTAGCTGCTCTAGGCGCACCAGAGGCCAGTCTCACGAGACTGATTCCCTTAGGAGGTCACCTGGCGGTGTGGGAGGCCTGCCAAGTGTGCTTCATTGGGTCCTGCCCCGAGCAGGCTCTGGTCTAGTCTTCCTAGCAGACGACGTGGGTCTGAGGGCCGTCGTTATCAATAGGAGACTTCAGCTATGAGAGTCCTGATGCTGTGGCTCAGGACCTCGGAGGGCAGGCCCCTCTGGGGAAGAGAGGTTCACAGCATTACACGGGGTCCCCGTCTCCCCCCAGTGCCCTTGGGAGATCGTTCTGCCAACCCTGCTGGTGTTCCAGGGCGCAGCGGTCTCCAGCGAGCGTTTCTTTCAGTTACCGCCCGGCAACGTAGCGGCACTGAGAGGCTCGCGGTCTCTGCAGAGGCCCCCAGAGCAGCTAGTTCGGCCGTCCCCTGCTGCCGCTTCAGGGCACCGAACTAGCTGTTCTGGGCACACCAGAGATCAGTCTCGAGAGACTGATTCCCTTAGTAGATTATTTAGCAGCGTGGAAGCTCCTGCCAAATGTGTCTCAATGGGTCCTGCGTACTGTAGAAAGAGGCTACAGAATCCAG